TAACTACTGCTTATCAAGAACAAAACGTATTGCTGAGAATACATTTGGGATATTTGCCAATAGATTTAGAATCTTTTATACTTCTATATATTTGAGAAACATGGAAAATGATGATATTGATGTCTTGGCTTGCTACTATTTGCAAAATGTTTAAGACACAAAACAAGCCCTACTTATATTCCTAATAAATTAAACAGTTCAGATAGAGGCCCAGTTCTAGAGCTGCGAGGGCTAGTAGACCTTCAAGTGACTGGAAATAGGAACGACGCTAGAAATTAGTAAAATATGTGGGAAATAAGTACACGTAATATATAATATACGAAGAAAAAGTTGAATACCAAGATAAAGTAGTTAGCACTACACATGGCATAATTTTCTGTACCTTTTGTTGACTTTTTGTACCATACTTTAATTAACAAAACAATACAAAATTTACTTACTGTATTCTCTTGATCTTTATCATCACCATCCGTTGTGTTATCATTAGTAATTTTACCACCATGAACATCTCGTGAATCATTAACGAATATAAACAAAGCGAAGTACCACAAAGTTGGTTCACATGTCATCATTTCCGGCTCCGCTGTTAGTAGTCTTCTTAACCTTTTTTCGTTTTCTATTATAAACTGATTGTAAATTATTTATTTTCGCTTTTACTGTTGTTATAGTTGCACTGTTATCTTGAACACGTTATACGCAGCTTATCTTTTGTTTACGTTATAGTATTGTAGAACTTTTTTGTTCCACAGACATGGATGTTGCTAATAAAGTTTGGTAAATTCATGGTTTGCCTTGGCGCCAGGTACACCTATCGATAATTTTATACGACTGAGACCTGATCGGACAAGTTTGTTTATACATCAGTTTAACTGACAACTGATGCAATATAGATAACTGAAAGTTCGACTAAAACTGACACTAAACAGAGAACTGATCTGACCGTCGTATAAAAAAACTTGACTTTATTATTAATTATGACTTTATTACTAAATTTATCGAACTTTATCAGCAACAACCATGTCTGTGGAACAAAATAGATCCACAATACCATAACATAAACAAAAGAGAAGCTGCTTATAAGATTATGGTTGAAAAATTTAAAGATCAAGATAACAGTGCAACTATAAAAACATTAAAAGCGAAAATAACTAAATTTCAATCAGCTTATAATGGAGAACGAAAAAAGGTTAAGGAGACTACTAACAATGGAGCCGGAAGTGGTGACATAAATGAACCATCTTTGTGGTACTACGATTTATTTATATTCCTCAATTATCCAGAAGATGTTCGTGGTGGTAATAATACTATGGATAACACAGCGGATGGTGATGATAAAGATCAAGAGAATAAAGTAATACTTATTAATTCATGGCGTATTTTTTTATTGTTTTGTAAATTTAAGCATGGTACAAAAATTCAACAAAAGGCACAGAAAATTATGTCAGATATGTAGTGCGAACTACTTCGTCTTGCTAGTCACCTTTTTCTTCGTTTAGTAAATATTACATGTACATATTTCTCACATTTTTTTGGACTTTACTAGCATCGTTCCGATTTGCATTCTCTTGAAGGTTTGTTAGCCCTCGCACCTCCAGAATTGAGTCTCTATCTGAACTGTTTAATTCACTTCGAATATAAGTAGCGCTTGCATTGTGCTTTAAAAAATTGTGAAAATCTATTGGGCATTATCCCAAATATATTCTCAACAATAGGTGTTGCTGTTGGTAAGCAGTAATTAAAGACCATACGTTCATGGTTCAATTGATTTTTGTTGAATAGTTTAAGGAAGTTTGGCTTTAATGCAAATGCTTGGTCTCGAATAAGAGCAAATGGTAGTTTTATAATACTAGACGGTAGCTTTGGTTTGGGTGGTGAATGTAAATGATTGTTAAGTAATCTTTTGTATAACTTGGTATTGTTGATTACGCCTCCATCTCAAATAAATTGCAGTATAGAATTTAGACCTATGTCTAGTATCTAGTAAATGTTTTTTTTTTTGTAGGAGGATTCATCGTCTTTTGCTGACGATCATGCACATGACGTAGAGGACAATCCCACAGAAGAAACTACAAATCGCTCGCTTAAAGAAGAAAGTACTAGTCAGCTTGAAGTCACGCCCTCTTACTAAAAATATCTTATAATCAGTTTTCCGACTCACGAATGAAATAGACTAGTCAGCAGCTCCAACCATATGACAAGTAAAAAGATACTTCATATGGTGGCTGATCGATTAATAAAGAACGATAATACGAAGTATGATATACACACTGCACTTGGTAAGCATATTGAAGTAGAATTAAGTAATATGGCACCTGAGATGCTACCTTTCGTTAAAAAAATTACTAATGATGCCATATTTAAAAACCAAATGCGTTCCCTTAATCAAACATCCGCTATAGTAACTCAACCGTTGTTACTAGGTCAATTTTACCCCGTACAACAGTAGCAGGGGCAGCAGCAGCAATAGGAGCAGCAGCAGCAGTCAGGTCAGTTTTGTACATTCAGGGAATGAACAATGTGCTTCAACACCAGAATTAAGTCCGGCAGAAATTGCAATGGATAGTTACTTTTTGCGGTATTCTGATATATAACATGTTATACGACTAGATACATATTTTTTGTAAGCTGTAATAAACAAAAATATTTACTTGTGATTACCGCACTTACCTTTGTATTATCCTTCAGTACCGTTATCATTGCTTTACAGGTTTCGAGTACTAAAATGCTTAAATTAGGAGTTATTAAGACAGTAGGAAATTTAAGACTTTGATACGTACTTTCAGTAGCCAAAAGCTGATCGTTGCACTTAGATTCTCATGTGGTGATATAGCTTCTCTCATGTCGGTGTCTTGCTCTTTTATAATTGGTGTTACTAACTGCAACAATTATATATATGCATCCCCACTCATTCTTAAATAGTTTGACCATTCAGAAGGGTCAAAATAAAGTACTTGTAATAAATTTATATGCGAAAGTGTATTTCTTTTCAAGAGCCAATTTTCGCTCCATCTACTTCTCCTTTTTCGTGTTTTTTTTTTAGTGCCAAGCACAACGCGACCGCAGTTAGGCTATATTCGTTCGTCACTGAACTGTGTAAGACAAATGCCAGCTGACAACTAAACTGATCGTCTAACCACGTCTAACCACCCAAACTGAACGGACAACTGTTTTGAAACTGAAACTGAACGGAGAACTGATCTGGCCGTCTAAAAGTACCTCACATTTTTATAGAACTGAAGCGTAATCTTTTTTATTACGTATTAGTATCTGTTTCGATGTATTTACTTAACATCTAAATAGTAACATACAATAGTATACAATTTACTAGTAAGAGAGTAGAAAAACATATTTAGTTAATGACTTTAATAGTATAATACTTTATAAGGCGGAGAAGCATGACTTTTCTTGACGCGCCCGATGGGCCCGAGGGCAAGTCAAGAAAAGTCGCTTCTTTGCCGAATAAAGTATACTATTTTTTCTTCAAACGTAGCAATTTTTCACCATAAATAGTACAATTTATACGCTATTTTTACTCGAAATTAACTATGACAACTATCAAAGTCGTCTAGATGTTAGAAATTAAAATAATTAAGTCGTCGGTGGGATTTGCGTCTCTCTGGTTACAGTTGTTGACAGTTGTTTGCAATTATTAAGAATAGCTTATTGTTGTTCGCAAGCCGCCAACATCGGGAATGATTGCTAAAAGTTGTTCTCGACCATCAGTATCATCAACAATTACCAATGCGTATCAAGAGTCGGGAACATTTTTGCACGGTTTCAATTTTGAAAATGCCTCATTAACTAATTGTACTTTTAATATTACTATAAATAAAAATGATGTTTAATTGTTGTTAATGACATTTGTATTGTTGCTTTGTGACATGTTTCATATTGTTGCCATGACAACATTTTTCCGTCCGCCGTAAAGAAATGGGAAAAAAAACTGCTGCCGGAGGAGACTTTGACAAACTTTGACAGGATCAAGTTAAATAAGTAATGTCACCATTATTGGCTTTTTTGCTTTATACCTAACGAATTGTCGTTTAGGAAGGTTATATCTTTGGAATATTGGCCAAAAGTAATACTAAGGTGTAAGATCAGTCTTGTCATTAACTTAGAAAAACTTGAACACAAATCCGAGGATTTAGAACCCTTACTTTTTTGTTTCTTTATATGCCATGCCATAAAAATACTGTATCATTTATAATATAACTGTTTTAATTTTTTAGCAATAAATTACGGGTTGATTCATTTATTGTGTTGATTATTTCTTCTGGTGTACACTTGAACGCGCCTTTTTGTTTGGAACCCGAAATATCTTTAATATTTTGTAGCAAATCACTGGATTTACTAAAAAGGAAATCTAAATTAGGACTGTACAAGTCAATTATTCTCCCAGTTGTTACATATGGTTGGACAAGTAATACGGTTCATAAATTCTGTTTATGGGCGACTTCGCATCAAATGCATGTCGCGTGCGTGAAATTAGAACAAAAATGCACTTTTTTCACACATATTTTATTTTTTGTTAGGTTTCAATAAATTGATACCTTATACATTATTATGGGGTTTAAAAAAATACCTTTCTAACGATCTTAAAAAATAATAATCTATAAAGCACTTTCAAAAATATAAGAAAAATTTAAAACTTTAAAAATTTTTATTGTCTAAAATAGTAACTTACAGCTAAAAAACCTTCCAAAAAAACAGTTATTAAATTTTAATTTACGGTATTATTTTTTGTTGTATTTTTTAGAGAAAATTTTACCGTCATAAAAATTATATATTTGATAAAATTAAAAATATTTAAAACAATTTCTTGATATATTCTATTTATAAAACGTAAGCAAAAAGACAGTGAAAAAACCTTTTTATTGAAAGCCTTTCAAATATTCACTGGAACGGCGCATTTAGTTCATCCCGTCAAATTCCCTTATTTTATTTCAACAATGTATACATATCTTTACCTTTCAAAGTTTATCTTTCGTTTACATACTCACCGTGCAAATAGCTCGTTGAGAATTCGTACGAGTTCCTCTGCTGTACACTGATCGGACAAAGTCGTGAACCCGCATATGTCGGCAAATAAAATGCTGAAACGAAAAAAAGTATAAATATAGAATTATGGAAAATTTCCTTTTGTAAGTTTATCTAGACATGTTCAAACCTGGGGTTTCAAAATTTTGAAACATAAGCATATCTTATAGTGAGTGTCAGGAAAGTCGTATTACAGGCTATCTCCACAGTTTTTTTTTATTGTATCCTTGGTTTAAAACTTTTATCCACGTACTTACAATATAAATATTAATATTTATTTATTCTGAATTGTACAGGGAGGACACTTTTCATTCTGAGGGGTACATCGGATTGATTTCATTATAACCCAAAAGGCATAAACCACGGTTAGACAACTCCACGAATCAAACGATAAATTTTTCATTCACACCTTTAACTTAATTTTTTGCAGAAATGCCATAATCAGTTTAAAAATGTTTTTATGATCTTCACTTAATAGTACATTTAAGTTTAATCTCATCTTTAAACCTTCTTGCAGCAATTCTTGAAGGAGCCACGTACTTATATTGAGATGTAAGGAACAGTTAAAGAATATCTGAATTAGATCAGATATGCTAGTTGCTAGTACCTCACTCAGATGGTTTTGTTGGGAGAACTCCAATTTTATGTAGATGCTTCGGAAAAAATTCATGATCTACTATTTATCTTATGCTAGTCGACTAGTGTAACAACTTTTTATAATTGGTTCGCAGAGGAAGTAGAGGACTGCTTTAGTGAATTTTTGGCTATTGAAACCGCAATAGTATTATCCAATATATCTGAATGTCCTTTCGTCCCTACGAATCATATAATGAACCTGATAATTTTAGTAACTGTTAAAACATTTTTAATTAAATTGCTGTTTGCCGTGACTTGACATGTTTTGTAATGCATTTAATCTTCTTCTTTGTCAACCATTTTCCATCCACTCCTGAATGTAGGTCTCTCCCAATTGCTTCCACCTTTCTCTATCTTGCGCCAATCTAATCCACTGTTTGCCTGCCACTGCTCTTATGTCATCTACCCATCTTTTTTGAGGTCTTCCCATGCTTCTTGTTGTCGTCCTTGGTCTCCATTATAGAATTCTCCGTGTCCATCTGTTGTCATTATATCGGGCTACGTGACCTGCCCAGCGTCATTTCATTTTTATAATTTCTTCCGCAATATCCCTAATCTTCGTTCTACGTCTTATCTCGGTGTTTCTAATCTTTTTTCTTAGTGGTATTCCAAGCATGATTCGTTCCATTGCCCTTTGCGTTGTTTCTAATTTTTTGGCAGATTTTTTGATAAGTGCTACTGTCTCCAAGCCGTAGGTACAAACAGGTAGTATGCATGTGTTATACACCTTTTTCTTTAAGTTTATAGGAATGGAGGTGTTTTTCAAGATATGTGCTAGTTTGGCGAAAGCGCCCCAAGTCAGTTGTGTTCTTCTTTTAATTTCAGCATCTTGATTTGGTTTTCCTAGTTTGATACCATGACCTAGATATACATAATGTTCCACATGTTCTATGGTATGATTTTGTATTGTTATATTTGTCTGGTCTCGACTCAGTATTTTTGATGCATTTAATACTGATAATAAATTAGTGCACACGACAATTTTATACCACTGGTTTTCACACTATTCAATGGCTTTATATATAGATCATGCCTTAGCAGAAAGATGCTGGATTGGTTATTTAGAGTAAATATTTTTTAATCTTTATTTTTTAGTACAAAGTAAGCACAGGTTGTACATGTTACTAATTTTGACCTATCTGTATAGATTGCAATGTAATCTGAATAGTTACTCAAGATCTCCTTGTCAGGTTTGGTATGTCCAATAATTCCCAAATGTGATTATCAGGAGAATTTATTAACTTAAGTTCATTGCAAGTTACAAATGTTTGTGCAAGTGGTGAGGAATTCTTTTTTAATTAGAATATACTTGTTAAATTAGCTGTATTTAATTGATTAATTATTTTTGCATTCAAGTTGCAGCGACAATGTTGGACTAGGAAATATTTGCTTTCCAGATACTCTCTGCGTAATAATACTAAGTGTTTAGACGCTAGAACCAGTATGGCTTGATTTGGAGTGCTTTTTATTAATTCTAACACAATTTTCAAAACTTTAAATTATCAAGTTTGTTTAAATTATTTATGCTGGCTGATCCATAAATCAAACAGTTGTAATCTATAATTGATCTTATATAGGCTCGATAAAAATTCAATGCAATATTTTAATCTACACCCTACGATATCTTACAAAGTACCTATTTTAAGTAAATTAATACCTTTTTTCGCTGCGGTTAATTGAGTAGTTAATATGTTGAGTCCAAAGCAGTTTTCTGCGTCACCTTTAGTCCAGCACCAAAGTTGTACATTATAAGTTTAAGTCCAGTATTATATTCGATGTACATTTTCTTCTGTGAATAGATATTGTAATACCATCAGCATATGAGGAGCATACATGTAAAAACCGATAAATCCATTTTTTGAATTTTTTAACCTGAATATGGATCAATATCAATTTAGTAGTTCTCTCTGTTTTCATAATATAAAATTCTAACAAAAACCGATATTTTCCCTTTAAAATGATGTACAAAGTGAACTAGTTACAGCAAATGCCGATAAATCCAAATTTCAAGCAAAACCCGATATATCTTTAAATAATTAATTCGCCATCTATGATGTAAATTCATAATATTGTGCATACTATGGCACGTTTCTTTATGCTGTGTCGGTCTTCGTTTTATAGTAGTAGCATAAACAAAAAAGTATACTTCTTTTCCTATCGTGTAGTAGTTTGTAAATTTAAAACGAGAGGACTGTTACCTTAATCAAATTGTCGGAATTAAAGGAGAAATGATTAAGAGGATATGTTATGGATATGTTAATGAATTACGTATTAAGCAGTTGTTATGCAAACATAATTATATTAAGTTTTAACAATGGAAGCAGGTGTGTTGGAAATTAGTATAAAAAAACCTTGCTAAAACATTGTCAGACGGAAATATCCCAAAATAAAATCGGGGCGAAGATCACGTGTCCACAAAATCTGTTATCAAAAAGAATAAAATAAGATAGTTTATTGTTAATCTACAAGAAAGAAAAAATCATTATAACAGAAAGAAAGCAAGACAAATTTATTTGGTCACTGATCTAAGAATAAAGAAATTGCATGGCATGTACCTCACTCAATGCGACCCTGAACATAATGTTAACTTTTCGATGTTTAGGAGGATATTCGTTAATTATTTTAACAGTGAGTTTTCTACTCCTGCATCAGATGTATGCGCAAAATATACTAAACTTAAATTCATAATTAGAACGGAAATTAACGAGGTAAATAAAAGAGAGTTTCATACTCAATAAAAAGTATTAACCAAAAGAAGGCTAATGCTTTTTATAGTTTGCTGAAAAATTCCTGAAAATTCCATTACATTCTGCTTTGATATGCAGCAGGTGCAGCCTTTGCCCAAAACACCTCTTATTGAAGCGTGTTATGCACAGCAGATTAGCATGTATATTTTTTACTGCGTTTATAGCAGTCCAAACATCCAACTTTTTTTACGTGGACTGAAGATCAGGCAGGTAGAGAATCAATTGAAATAGATTCTGCACTTGTAAATTATTTGTATTCTTTAGAGTACAATAATATTACGACACTTTGCCTCTTTTGCGGCGAATGCGGTGCACAAAACAAAATCTCCCTTATTATTCATTCGCTGTACTTTTGGCTTATATTTAAAGCTCCAGTTCAAGTCACAGAAATTAATATTACGTGTATTTTCAGTCAGGGGCTATTCATATTTGCCAGCAGACAGGAAGAGTGGAAAAGCTTCTAAGAAAAAAAGCCATAATTATCTCTAGAGAGAAATGTGAAGAAATTTACAAACAAATTGGAGTTGTTAAAAAGATAGGCACTGATTGTAGATTGTTTAATATGAAAGATCTTTAAGTTAACTTAAAAATAGTGAAAGCGCTAGCCGATATAAAGAAAATTGTAATAAAAAAAATTTAACAATGGCAAATTTTAAAACTACTATTTTACCAGTGGGTTGGAAAATTTTGAAAACGTTTTGAAACCAAAATTTTTCGAAATTGAGTTGACCTGCTCAGAAAAGAATTGACTCGGTTTATCCCCGAAAAAAAAAAAAAAAAAAAAAAACTTAAACACTTATTAAATCTAAACCTCGATAAAGATTGGGAGAAATTACAAGCACTTCAATGGTACCAGGAATTGCTTTAATGGCAAAAGTTCGAATGAAAAGGATGAGGAGGAAGAGGAAGGGGAGATATGTGACTGCCTGGCAGAGGAACCAACGGTTTAGATTTGATTTTACTTTTTTACTTTTTTTAAATTGTTAAATACTTATAACAAAAATAATTTTCTATATTCTAGTTCGTTTATTTTCTTTTATTAACAACAAAAATATACCTATAAATTTCTGTTTTCAAGCAAAACCCGATAAATTAAAAAAATCAAAAATAAAAACAGTAAAGAAAGATAATATATTAAAATTATAGAATTTTATCATATGACTTATAACTACAATTTATTTTCAATATGATGTTTGTTTAAATTGTCATGGGATTTTACTGTACACGTTTTTGGCTTTTATCTCACAATTGGGAAAAGTGGATTTATCGTTTTTTGCATGTATGCTCCTCATATTGCTAACAAGCAATATTGGAAGACAAACCATAAATTGTGCAAAAAGAAGTGGTTTTAAAAAATCTCGCTGTGGAATCCCTTTTGATGTAATAATTGGTCCTATGATAAAATCACATAATTCGAATCGATATGTTTCTGTGTTTATGTAAATTTAATAGTAAATATACCATGAATTTTGCCACTCCAAGAAATACAAGTTTATCACTTGGTTTATTAAAATCGATATTGCCATAAGCACATTTTATTTTGATAAATCAATCGAAAAGCCAATTTGAACATCTGTAGTCAGAGTAACGATTGCACCTGTCTTACCTCAGCCTTGTTTATAGCCAAATTATATTGTTGGTTTTATACTTTGGCGTCTTATCCAAGTTTCCAA